CGCTGACACTCCGTGCGCGCGGATTGCCATGATTTCGGTCAATTTTTAAACTCTTATAACTAACAAACGAAGCATTTTTCGCAATTTCGTTATTCTTGATTTTCGTCTTATTTTGCCTCAAAGAATCACCCCTTGAATTTTTTCCCACTAGTTGTCGAACACCCTGTATATGTACGTAGGTGTAGTAACAATGTCAAAGCAAGTGATAAATGAGTATGTGACTGTCATATATGACCATACTTATAATCTCACAATTTTGTCAATAATATGATTACACATTGTATTGTATAACAATGAAAACCTTTATGTATAAATATATATTATATTTATACTATTTTTTTAATGCATATTCAGCGAAACAGGAAACATATTTTTACTATTTGATGGATGAACGTTCTATATAGATGTTATTCATCCATTCGGCGGTTTATTTTTCACTGCGGATGGTTTAATTCAAGAAAAATACAAGGTGCGTCTAAAAAGTTCGGTGAATGGTCTCAGAAAATAAAGAAAACAAAAGATACACAGAAAATATGTTTATTGGCCTTCAAAGTAATCTCCATTAGTTACAATACAGTTTTGACAACGGTTGTAAAGCTGCTGAAAACATTCTGCGAAGGCTTCTTGTGGAATCGCTCGAAGCAACGATGTCACACGTTTTTGGATGTCCGGGAACAAATCTTCCGCTTATTCAAATCTTCGTGTACGATAGTGTGCACACTATCTTTGCTAATTCCTAATTCATCCGCTATCATTCTCAAAGTCAGCCGCCGATCATTTGCAAGCATCTATCGCACTCATTCCATGATGTCTGGTGTTCTGCTTGTTGACGGTCGACCCGAACACGGCTCATCATCGACAGCTTCCTTTCCGTCGCGGAAGCGTTTGAACCAGTCGTAAACACATTTTTTATTCACTGCTTCTGTTCCGTACACTTTCACCAACATTTCATGGATCTCCGTCGCCGTTTTCCCCAATTTGTAGCAAAACTTTATGTTTATGCGTTGCTCCATTATTCCATATGACACAAGTTTTCACACACACTACGTTCGACAAGTCGCACAGGCAACTCTGCTTCAGCTTAGTGTTTTCGGCACTAGGGGGCGATTCTTTACATGTCTCTCAAAGAGCATGCATGGGCGCGCGTTTCTAACCCGCGTTGTTGTTTAAATGTCGGACCATTCACCGAACTTTTTAGACGCATCTTGTAGAAAAGCTCCTTCCAATTTCGTGAACGATGCGCATCGAGCATTCTCGTGCGCGCGATAGCCGTGTTTCCCCGTCTTTACGAACATTTGCGCGTTGCGAATGTGCGCTGGGTCGTTAAAATCGACCCTTCTTGAGGGTCTCGAGTGGAAATTCTGTTGCATGTTGCTTAAGTGTGGACGGTATTTTGGTCGCGCGCCGTGTTGTGCGTGTCCGTGCTCGCTGTTGCACATATTTGGACCTGCCTGTTTAGCTTGTAATATGTTTATGTAAGTTTCTTTGGAAAATGGAAGAAATTTGGTTTTGACCATTTGAGCTGTTAAATTTTTATTCTGGACCAATGTGCGTCGTCTGTTGAGGAACCGTTAGAATCACCTCGTCTATCGTCTCGCCGTTGAATTTATCAAAACCAGGCGCTTGATTGCTTCGTTTCTGCGGGCGGAAGTTCCTCTTACACAGGCCATTTGTCTTGCAGTCCGTGGCAGGGTGGAGAAAGAGAAAGAGGGTTTGAAGGTCGAGCTGGAATCCACCCGCAAAGAGGTGTCCGAGCTGAGGCACGAGATCGAGGAGATGAAGCAGGAGGAGAAGAGTTTGAAGCTGGTGATCCAGAGGGCCGAGGCGGATATTGGACGTCACAAGAAGGACATTGACAACGTCATGAACGAGAGGGATATTCTGGGCACGCAATTGGTCAGACGGAACGACGAGCTGAGCCTTCAGTACAGCAGAATCAAAGTGCTGCACGGGACGCTGCAGCGAGGCGAGGCGCAGTATAACCAGAGATTGGAGGACATCAGACTTTTGAAGCTCGAGGTGAAGAACCTCAGAACAGAGAAGACGCTGCTAACCAAGAACATTAACAACATGAGCGACCTACGGCAGGAAGTGTTCCATTTGAACAGAGACCTGACCAGGGAGAGGCTGAAGGTTATGGCGCTGGAAGAGGAGGTGCAGACCCCGTTGAATATTCACAGGTGGAGGAAACTCGAGGTAACTATTTCTTATTAGACTATGGATGTTTGTTACTAGACTCGAGGTGAGTATTTATTACTAGACTGAGAATTTTCGTGTAGATTTACAATGTTTGGCTGAAGTATTTTATAGAGGTATGTACAGTTACTCGATTTAATATTCAGATATTATGGTACTTACGTAATTATTGCTCAATATACTAACTTGAAATGTGGTTATCGAATGTTCTGGACCGTGATAGCATAAAGCATACGTTCTAGTTTACAAATACGTCAAAGTAATTACTTTATTTTTCATTATTCCGGACATAATAACTCATAAACGAAATAAGATCCAATATTGATATCGAAAAAATATTCGGACACCCGTGTATCTCGCGGCTTATTCGCTTTAGAATGTCAATTCGTAGACAGAATTACTGTTTTCAATAATTACCTATTTATAATTATAATTTATTTTTGAATAATCTTTGTGTATCACCGGTCCTTTCCGCCATTATTATACGCATGCGCAGCAGTATTATTAAATTTAAGTAAAATTACTGTCGCGGATATTATAAAAAGGTACAATCATGAAGGTCGCATTGAATCTATTTCTCAAGAAGAACGTCCACGTCTTCTTAATAGCCGTAATAAGCGCCAAATTATTCGAAAAGTGAAAATCAATCCAGGATTAAGTGCTCCTAATTTAAATGCAGAATTATTTCAAAAATCTGAGAAAACAGTACATGTGGATACAGTTCGCAATGTTTTAAAAGAAGTTGGTTATAATGGTAGAGTGGCTTGTAAAAAGCTATACATAAATGAAATCAATCGAAAGAAACGTATAACATTCGCCAAAGAATTTATGTCTAAAACACAGTCGTGGTGGAATGATGTGATCATTGTAGATGAAAGTCAGTTTCATGTTTCTGGATTCAACAGACGCAAATTAGTGTGGCGTAAACCGAATGAACAATTCCAAATAAATAATACCAAACCGACGGTGAAACACGGTGGCGGAGTCTTAATGGTATGGAGCTGTATTTCAACTGCCGGAGTAGGAGAGTTAGTTTTTATTGGTGGAATTCTAGATGAAAACAAATATTTGGACATATTAAAAGAAAATTTAAGGGAAAGTGCAACGAATATGGATATACAAAACACTTTTAAGTTCTATCAGGATAATGATCCGAAACATAAAGCAAGAATACATAGTTCAGGAATATTTATTGCATAATTGTCCGAAAGTGTTCCATCCTCCGTCACAGTCACCGGATTTAAATCCAACAGAGAATTTATGGGATTTGTTAGATCGTAACATTTGGACGACATCCATATAAGAATAAAAGAGGAATTAAAAATACGACTAACAGAAGAGTGGGGACGTATTACTCAAAATTATTTATTGAAAATTATTTCAAATATGCCGATACGGTTAAAACATGTTATTAGGCAAAAGGGATATTCAAAAAAATATTAAAATTATTATAATTTTGTTCGCAAGTATCTATATGTATATGGTGAAAAACGTTATACAATTTTACATGTCCGAATCTTTTTTCGACATCAATATTGGGTCTAATTTCATTTATGATTTATTATGCATATTTGGAAACTAGAATATGTGTTTTAACCTTTCTCGAAACAGAAAATTCGATAATCACATTTCAAGTCAGTATATGTATAGAGCCATACTTACGCAAGTACCATGGTGTGTGAATATTAAATCGAGTAACTGTAGGTGTTAAAAAGAAATTTATTTAGTATACTTGAGTTTGTTTTTACATATGATTTTGATTTAATACGGTTTAAAAGAAAATTAAATTCTTTTTGCACGATTTTTTTTTATTTAACAAGGTATGACACATGTGTCTTTTGAAAAATCTTCACTTAGTTTTAATTCTGGGTGAAAATTTTCCCACTTATTTTTCTAGGAAAGTGCTCCGAATTAAACAAATTCTCAATTGGTTTATATTCTCTTTACTTGTATTTACAATCTGGAGAAAATCCTTCATTTTTCCTTGTGCACGGTATCATTTCTGCATGTGATACTTTCACAAGGATTTTTCTGGAGTATTATTGTGTGACAACAGAATTAAGTGTATATTAAGGTTAAAACAATAACTCCGTTTAACTTTTGTAGAAATAATTTATTCTATTACACATATTACACGTAGGATTAAATTCCTTTTGAGGAGTATGTTGGGTAAAATATGATCGTTCGCGATACAAATAAGGATTTTTAATGACGAAGAAAATAGAATCGTTTTGTTACAATATTTGTTGCTCAGATAGAGTAATAATTGTTTTTTCTTTATTTCTTTTATTATATACTCTATTATATTATTAATATAAACCAGTAAAAATATCTCAAAATATTTTACATATATTCTTGTCATTTCCATTATTTTTTTAGTATTCTGTATTACGGTGTTTATTCTATTGTTACGTTATCAATTTTGTCGTTCTTTTGGCAGTCTGTAGGTAGGTACTAATGAAGTTGCATTTTTAACGTACAGGGAAGAAATGAAATTGCTGTTATTTCTTATCAAGTGCTTACGAAATTTTTATAGGGCTCTGATCCGTCTACTTATGAACTGCTAAAGAAAATCCAAATTCTGCAAAAACGTGTTTTAAAAATGGCCTCGGATGCGATCGACAAAGAGAAGAAAATAAAAGATACCGAAAAATTGTACATGAACCTTCGTGAGATATTGTCAAAATATCCAGGACCTCAGGTTACCATCTCCTTGAACAAAACTCAGAAAGCATTGCGCGAAAGAGGACAGAAAATGAAGGTAAGGATAAGGAATATATCAACATATGTTAAAATATTAAATATTAAATTATAATAATGTTAGAGTTTAACTATCGATAAATAGTAATCATACTTTTTATAAAATTTATGCGAAACTTCACTTTACTTCCTTTATTAACGGTCTTAATTCTTTCGGTATAATTATTCACTTAAGTTGACAACCATCGCTCCCGGTATAATTAAACAACAATTATACTCGATAATAACTGCAATAAGCTTTCATTAGATGAATACCATCTAAATGAAGTATGTTCAGCTAAAAGGACCCGCCGCTTTATTTTAAAATACCATGACAATCATGGAAGTACGAAACGAATCGTTTAATTTTATCGTCCCATAAGGAAGAAACGAAGGGAAAATGAATGCAAAGAGTAGAAGAAAATATCTTCTATATTATGATTGTCAGAGATGATGGTAAAACAAGAAGAAGAGATAAATTTTTCTTAAAAAGTTTATTCCGCACAATGTAGTCAATCAACAGCTGAAAAGTATTCATTTGAGAACAATTTGTTTAAGAATGTTAATATATCTTAATTTTCATTCGTGGCAAAAGGTCTTAACTTGATATTTGAAAGTATGTTCAAAATGTCCTTCAAAAGGATTTTTTAAGGAAAATGATGGGGAATATAAAATGGGGTAAAACAGATCGTATCGATAATATTATCATTAAATCAGTAAAACCTCTAGTACAGGGCTTACAGTTCTGCCTAATTTTCATTTTTATATATTAATATTTAAAATTACAAATTTTAAGGAAGTTCCACAGTCTAGTGATTACAAACGCATTCTCGACACACTATCGTTACAATATTTCTTAATTTATTTTGCCTCTTGAATCGCTTCCCGTAACGAGACTTACCTTTTTCTTCCCGTATGCACACACCACATACATATGCACTTCTTTTTCCAATCTCCAACCACACAAATTCACGTATGAAAACGGTAACATATTAGATGTACCCATAAGTAATCCACCATTTCATTCAAATGAACTGTTAATATACTTTAAATTCAAGACGCTTTCGGCTCTTTTCTCTATTCAAAATGGCGGTGGTGATTCGCGTATTATCAGACAATTATTATTGATCCACCACAGGCTTCAGTTTTTTCAAAAATAAATATTAACCCTCAGAAGCCACACCCCATCGCAGCATACGTAAATACCACACTAGTGCAATTTGGGATTTCGAATTTTTGATGATTATCCCGCTCACCGCATCTTTTTAGTATCTGGTGCAACAATTTTTTTCATAAAATCAACAGCGAATAGTCATTTTAAGACCATTTAAAACATTAAAAAATGCTTTATTTATAAATATGTTTACTCACGATAAATAATAGTACCAGCAGTCACAGTAACACCGTTTTTCTAACGTTGGGATGTCATTTAAAGAAGTTTCGTACTGCCAATCGTCAAGAAATGTTTCAAATATTGTCACTAAAGTAATAAAGCAGGCATCCAATGTAGTGGACAAATGTAGTTAGCGAGTTAAGAACTTGAAGAAAATAAAAGCAAATTAAGCTCATAACATGTTTTTTATGGTTAAATTTCCTCAGAAATTCAATGGTAATAATTGCAAAAGTGAGAAGTAATGTTCTATGGTAATTGAGGGAAACTGTTATGCTAGCCGGATAGAATGTCACAGAAGAAACAATATTTCACTGATGCGAATTCGCACTAGTGTAATGTCTGAGGGTTAAATTTCACAAAATATATCGAATTCATTATTGACGCATCCAATACATCTCCCTACATTCCACAAAAAAGGAAAAAAATAAATATTCGAAGCTCAATTCCCCCAAAAGCTCCGATCACGATCATTCAGCTCGCGTACCAAACTCTCGAATAAACGTTAACCGACCAAAAGGGATTTCGCACGTGTACCCTACCGTTTCTTAAACATTCACGACGGGCGTCGCGCGATGTAGGCTCAGCTGATATTTTAACGCCAGCAAATGCCTGGTTGCACGCGAGTGTTCAATGATTCAACGGGGCTCGATTTCTCAGTGTCTGCTTGCGGAGCTGAGCATGTACGAAGTCCAAATCGACGGGTACCGGGTCGATGTGGACAGGATGGCCGGCGAGATGGGCGAGCTGAAGAAGAAATACTACACGCAAAAGAGGCTACTCCAGAAATCGAGGGAATCGAAACCGAAATCGATGAGCGAACCGTTGCTGCCGCTCATGAGCCAGAGCACAAAACGTTTCTGTGGCGGTGGCTTCAACATGGCGACCCCCACCCCCAGGAACTGCTTCACTGCGGACAACGTCTGCAGATAAGCTTTCCAACGAGGACAACGAAGAAAACGACACGGGCTCAGTTCTATTTACGGTCACGATATCCACGGTGTAATGAAAATATAATGGTGTACTTTGCAGGATTTTTCTGTGTGTGTACACTATCCCCCCAGCATAACCTTTTTGTTTTCATTCTGGGCCGGGGGGATGGAGGGGGGGTTCGACGCCTTGTGGTGCTCGTAATGTCAGTCAATATTTGCGTTCGGAGGGATATTTCGCGTCGTTGGGCGATGCAAACGTACACCAACCGGTTGACTCGTGCTACAAGGACCAGAGGAGTAATTTGTTTGTCCTTTTTTTTGTCCGTGTTAGTCTTTCGAAGGGCGGGCAACAGATAAGAGAATCCTGGTGAAGCGACTGGTTAGATTCTCCCTCGGTGCTCGTTGAGCGATGCGCTTATGTTGTTCGGGTTTTTTTGACATTGCTAACGGAAGGAGCAGTTTTGTTTGATGCTGGTATTCAACGAATGTGTATTGCTTGTGAGATTGGGAACTTCGGTTTTGTGATTTAACGTGATCGAGTGCTGGTAATGTGAGTGATATTCAGCAGAGTTTAGTTTTCATTTGGATAATTCAAAATCTTAATAAATTATCGTGATTTGATTTATTAATTTCTGAAAGTTGTAAGAATTCAATTGGTATTGATTTTGATATTTTTTTTGTGTTTTCGGTTTTCGTTGATTCAATATTGTTGACAATACTTTGAAAGAATTAGAGATGTTCTCTAAAGACAATTTTCAATTCCTTAGTAATACAATTGTTAATTAACAGCCATTCCGACACAGAAATAAACTTTAAATTTTCTAACTTTTATAGTTTTTTTTTATGTATCTCACATCAAGTACTCCATAGTAACTGATAAATATGAAACAATTTATACAAAATAAGTGACAAACATTAAGGGTATTATTTCTGTACATAATTTTTTTTCAAAATTTATTACAATATTTATTTAATTTAAGGATGTATAATACAGAGCATGTGTTGTTACTGCAATTTTAATGTTACTTAGTACTGCAAATACAACTTTCAGGAAAAAATTGGATCACTCATTTTAAATTCATATTAATTTTTGTAAAACTTGTATAAATTTCATTTTTCCTCATAAAAGTATCATTAGTCGCTGAAAATTTGTGGAAAGTTTTCTCTTCTGTTTTGTGCACTAATTAACTTTTCCGTGAATTTATTTCGATGGATTTCCAAGGGGATCTTCATATATTTGACGCAGTCCCTTTCAACGTAAGTAACAACTTTAAGTAGTCACATACTTTAATACTCAATTCTCCAAGTACTTACAAAGTTTCTTAATCCTTCAATATATTTTCAAGTATAGCAACTAAGCTTCCAATTGTAGAAAGTGTTCCAAAGATTTGAGTTGTAATAGGCTTCCATTTTTTTTATTTAAACTCGTTCTCGTCGGAGGTATTTGACAATTTACCTTTATCTATATTGTAATATCAGATTTTTTATTATTAGTATCTGTTATTTACTACTCACTGAAGTTTTGTTATCTGCAGTGGAAGCTTTTATGACTTATAACACAACCCAATAATTGCTGTTGTACCATTGGTAGGCTATACAACTAATACATCTCGACGTGCTTCAGTTTTTTTTGTAAATATTTTTAAATGTTTCTAAATGCCTCGGTTTGCTTTTAAATATTCATAAATATTTTCGAGTATTATTTTTTTTAAATATTTTCAAACATTTCCAATTAATTATACATATTATAAATGTTTATATCTAAAAACGTTTACTCGTTTCCTTTTTCTATTCGTTGAAGGAAAATGAGAGTTACTCTCAAAAAAGATTTAGAATTGTTGGTGCACCCACAATTTCTCTGTTATTTTAAATAAATTATGGACATTGAAGACCGTTTCTATCCCTCATAATGTCAAATGTAGTAATGTGCCAGAAATGAATATGAAAAGTATCGTCTTTCCGGAACTGGAAATGGTTAAGAGTTTGGTAGGGATCAGAGACTTCATCTGTGAACTTCAAGCATTTCAAGACTGGAATACATTAAACCCCTTATTTGTTTAACGTAACCGAGCAATATATATATTTCAGCAGTTTATCCTTTTTTTTTCAAATAGTACAATTTCACGAGTAATAATTAACACGAAACTTTTAAGAATTATTTAATAACATTTTCTATTATTCACCATCGTGCAAAGTACATATAAATTTGATACCTGATGACCGAAGGATTTGGTCTACCCTTTTCACTACGCTTTGTTCAATGATTGAATAGGCATTCCTTCTTAAATTTAATTTTCACAGTGAATTCAGTATGAATTTACACGGTAAACTGTCAGTAATAACTAAATTTGATTTTTGGATTGATATTTTTTAGCTACGATAGAACTAATTAAACATAGCTCGGTTGGTCATTTAGCCGCGCTATAGCTATCAATTTATCTGTATATGTATACAAGTCGTAAATTTAAGGAGAGAACAAACTGGAAGACCATAGTAAGGTTGAATGGATGAAAATGCTATGGGATCAGAAAATAGTCGAAGACCGTAGGAAAGTGAAATGTTAAGGCAACAAATAAATTTTATAAACAATATCTACGGAAATTATTTGGTTTGTGGAAAACTTTGAAATTTATAATTATAAAATTCTATATATTTTATTAATAATATACATACAGGGTGAGGCACTTAAAACCGGCCACCTGAATCACTTGGCTGCTGTTGGTGATAGGAAAAAATGCAAAATCAGGCCAAAATTATTTGGTATCGAGAGGCTGATTATCCGATGTCACTAGTTTTTTGATAGGTGGAGGCATCAAGAAGATATGAAGGTCATCTCTGTTTTTTCAAATGGAACGGTATGTTTTTTTACTTACATTCTGATAGAGTATTTCAAGACGAATACAATGACCTATTGGAAAGGTCATTCATAATCTGGGTTAAGCCAATTGTGATGCAAAATAATTTACTTTGAGGAAATGATCAAGCACCTTTGATTTATTTATCTAACAGTAATACACAACTAATACAAGTGTTCAAAATGGTGACCTTGAACATTGATGCATGCTCTGAAGCGTTGCTTAACGGATAATACGGCATGTTGAATTTCAGTTAGGTTTATCGTGGCACAAACTCTTCTTATACGCTCTTTCATATCTTCTTTGGTTGCTGGTATTTCATTATACACTGGCTGCTTTAATTTTCTCCACAAATAGAAGTCCAGAGGTGTTAAATCTGGAGAACGTGCGGGTCATTCATGATTTCCTGTATGACCAATCCAACGATCTCCGAATGTCACGTTGAGGAATTGAGTAATTATCCGTGCAGAATGAGCAGGGCATCTGTCTTGTTGGAACCACATAGTTTGCCGTATGTGAAGCGGAATATTTTCCAGCAGGTGTGGCAAAATTTCCGTTAAAATGTGTTTATATCTCGAAGTGTTTAATGTGCCATCGATAAAATAATCGCACCAAACGTTTACAGACCAAGGTCTTTGTTTATCCACTTCTTGCAGCCACCGTAGATTTTCTATTGACCAATAATGCATATTATGACGATTAACTTGGCCACAGTTTGTAAATGTGGCTTCGTCCGTAAACAAAACTTTAGTCAAAAACAGCTCATCACTCTGTAATTTCTGCAGACCCCATTCACAAAAATTTACATGGTTTTGAAAATCATTCGAATGTAATTCTTGGTGAAGTGAAACATGAAAAGCGTGGAATTTATTTAAATGTAATATTCGCAAAACACATCGTTGACTGATGCCACTTTCACGTGCTAGCTGCCTTGTATTATACTAGCATGGGGATTTTGTGTTACAGCTGCTAAAATGTTCACTCTATTTCGATCATCAGTTGCTGCCTTGGATCTTCTTCGTATTTTGTTATCTACACGTTCAGTTTCTTGAAAACTTTTAATAACATTCGTAAATGCAGATCGTGAAGGTGTGACACGTTTGGGTAACCGTTCAGCATACAAACGGACTGCATCTCTTACAATCTCTACATATCTACTTTCTCCGCTATTGAATAACGCATTTCGGAAACTTGAGATACATTTCGCTGGGCAGAGATTCTCATAAACGACTAATCATAGTATGTACAGATGAAGCGTACAGCGTGATTGAATGTTTATTTCCATTCAACGACCCATAACAAGAGATTACAAGACAGAGATGAAGTAATAATATCAACAACCAGAGACGGCAAGGAAGTGTTCGACCATTTCCTCAAAGTAAATTATTTTCCATCACAATTGGCTGAACCCAGACCACGAATGACCTTTCCAATAGGTCATTGTATTTGTCTTGAAATACTCTGTCAGAATGTAAGTAAAAAAACATACCGTTCCATTTAAAAAACTAGAGATGACCTTCATATCTCCTTGACGCCTCCACCTATCAAAAAAATGGTAACATTGGATGATCAGCCCCTCGATACCAAATAATTTTGTCCTGATGCATTTTTTCCTATCACCAATAGCAGCCAAGTGATTTAGGTAGCCGGTTTTAAGTGCCTCACCCTGAATAGTAAACAATTTTATATAACATGGAATTTTATAGAAAGACGAAAGATCTAATGTTAAACTTGAATCGTTATGAACGAAATATTGTACTAAACTATTTCAATTTCTTATTTGTAGTCCATTTAGTTTATCCACTATAATTGTGGGACTATTTATTAGAATAATGTATGAAATAGTTTCGTTTGATTACCTTCTAGCAAGCTTTTCTTTTCGCCGTGACAATTCTATAACCTCTAAACGTACCTCCTACTTTCCACCGCAATTTGTGGTTCCCGGTACACGGGAAGTAATGGCTAAAGTAATTGCATGACCGCAAATAAACGCCACGGGAGCGTTCATCGACGCGTGAATCGATTGTCGTTCGAACAGACACCAAATTAATTGCGTCGGCGAAACTCACAATGCAGACACTCAAGATGGCAAAATGAAGAGTAATACGTATGTATATGTATAGTCTATCGTATCTATTATCTAAAA